ATAACTGTTCACGTTGTCTTCTTGGGTCTCAGTTCACTCTCACAATAGGAGTTCTGTGAGGGCACCTCCTCTCCAGCACCTCTCAGTGTGTTCGGTAATCCTCACACACTCAGCAGAAATACAACAGGGGAGGCTGGGAATGTGGCTCAGTGGGTAAGAACACTTGCCACACAAGCATGAGGGCCTGAGTTTGATACCAGCACCCTCGTAAAAATCCAGAGGTGGCCACCTGGACACCTATAACCCCAGAGGTACTGGGGGACAGAAACAGGAGGGTCTGGGGCACTTGCTGGCTCCAAGCCTAGCTCCAGGTTAGTAAGAGACCTTGTCTCAAGGGAACAAGGCCAAGGGTGCTAGAGCGGGATACCAGATGTCATCCTTTAGCCTGTATGCTAAGGATAGGCACACCCACACATACACCTTCGAACATACTCTCATACACACACACACACACACACACACACACACACACACCAGCTGAGGAGTGAATGAGTGGGTCATGACCAAGCAATGAAAATACCATTGAGGAATGAATGAAATGAAGGAATGAATTCATGTTGAGGAGAGAATGAGCAAATGGTTTGGGAATGAACAGATACGTCCCACAGAGTACCCTCCTCCCCTTGCCCCTTCCTCATCTACACTGAGCCCTGAAGTGCTCCTTTGACCCTGCCCCGCCCTCCCTGGCAGATAGGAAGCTACCTGTTATCTCAAGACTTGGATACTGCCATTACCTCCAGCTTCACAGTCAGGAAGCCGTCTCTCCTAAGCGAGCTCGGTACCCACTCTGCCTGCCCTCCCTGTAGATGGAGGCAGCTGCAGGGTTAGGGAAGGGCAGTTGTCAGGCAGCCAACAGTCAGCAAAAGGATGCACATAGACTCGTGCAATGGCTCGGCCAAGCACACAGCAGGCCTCACTTTCCAGAATGGGGCAAATGCCTAGTGCTCCGCCCTTGGCCCTCTGTAGTGGGCGGGCTTGTGTTAGTGGGTCCTCCCTCCATCTCCAAAGGAGCCTCATTTTAGAGATGCAATAGGAGGTCGATGCATGGAGTACCTAAAGCACACCAGACTTGAGCCCAGGCCCAGGTTTCTCTACAGATAGTATTTGTGCTAAAGGTGGCCATCCTAGGGAACCAGACCTGGAGAAGAAGGAAGCCCTGGCCCCAACTTCAAAGAGGTAATTTAGAGTGGACCACAGAACGTGTGCCCAAGGGACAGAGACTGGAAATGTTCCTCCACCTGCTCCCATCCGATCCTCCCCTACAGGAAGTCTACTGGGTGGGTGACCAGGGAGGGATGCCTGCAGAACTGTTCCCCCAGGCAACCTACCCATTGCTGTGAGCAAAAAGCAAGAAGTAATTGGTGCAGCTGAGTTGAGGCATGGACAGAGGACATATGCACAAGACTGATGGCTGCTGCAGATGTGAGGTGTGTGTGTGTTGGGGGGTGTCTGTATGCTTCTGGTAGGGGATCCTAGCTGCTATTAATGCTTGTGGGGCTCAAGTGGTGTAATACTCTGGGAAGGCTATGTAGGAGATAAAGGATCATTGTTATTATGAAGTCAGCAGCTGGCATTCTTTTCCTTAGGATTCCCTTAATTAGAATGGGCTGCTAAGGTGCCTCTTACCAAGACTGCTGTCAGATGCCAGCATCCTTGAAATGACTCAAAGAGTGACTGACTACCCCAGCTTTCGTATTGAAAGTCTTTCGCCAGAATACTTTGGGTCCATGGGGTTGGTCACTTAGGCTCTCTGGAGGCATAACCCTGAGGTACAGCCTTCAAAAGGATCATGGAAGGGGAAGCTACCCCATCCTACCACACACACACACACACACACACACACACACACACACACACACACACACCACATTTCCGCCACCACAGTTCTTACCTGGCTTCCACGGCTGAAGGCATCTGTAATCATTTCAAATAGGCCTCCTCCATCACGGTGTTTTCTCTTAAAATTAAAGGACCCAGCCTCTTTTAATTGAAGACATGGCAGAAAATTCAGAAAACACAAAGAAATTCACACACTTAACTCACTAATCATCCTATCGCCCAGAAATAAAACAGTGGACATACACTGGGAAATTTCTTTCCAGATGTTTCCTGCGCCGGTAGATCTACTCTTGAGGAAAGTGGCTGTGGTAGAATGAATGGCTGGACTGGCTGACACATCTGCACATCTGCTCCACAGGAGACCATGGGGTCACAAGCAGGGGCAGCCCCTCCCTCTGGCTTCTCATCGGGGTCCACATGATTAGCTTCCTGATCTTCCTGAAGGCTGCTGTGTCTCTGTGAGCACAAGCCAGTAACCACCCTGCCCCATATTCTTGTAGTGGGGTCACTCCAGGGTCCCTAAATGAACCACCCTAAATCTCGCTTAGCAGGTAACACAGCCAGTGTTCCGTCTTGCTGAAAGAGAACTCAAGTGAGTTGGAAATGGCTTTCTCCCCGCCTTCTCTCATCAGCCATTAATTTTCTCCCTGTTAAATGCCTCAAGCCAATGCTAACAAAATTAAACTTGACAGAGATAAATGTGAAGTCCTCAGGACTGGAACTGTTGCGCTCCCCATAAACAGGTTGAGGGAGGTGAGGTAGCTCTTGTGGAAAAACTCCCAGGAAACTGAGGCAACAGGAATGTTAGGTCCCGTCACCAGAGGCAAGGGGTGCAGAGAAGGAGGGGAGTGCACCCCGAATGTTGGGTTTGCTACAAGGTGCTATGTTCAAGGCACAGAGTTTCCCACTGTCCCTGAGGAGAGAATGGGAATGGCGAAGGCTCTTGGAGCCACGGGGTGGGGTGGGGGTGGGGGGTGGGGGGTGGGGGTGGGGGTGGAAGCTGTCTGACCAAGCAGGACATTTAAGGGAAATACCTCAAATTCTTAGCTTCAGGGACATGGCAGAATCTTTTTTTGTCTGGTCAGTGGGGACAAAAACAATGGGTAACCACCTGCTCCATCATCCACTCCCTTCTTAGGATGGGGTACAATTGATTGCTGTGTGTCTAGCTCCCCACATGTGAATTAGGGGAGGCTCACCAAAACCCTGAATGACCTCATCATAACTTTTTTTCATCTGCAAGACCCTCTTTTCAAAATAAGGACCTGCTATGTTGGGGATCCAGAAGTTCTCTCAGAGGCCCAGGTTTAAAGGTTGGCCCCCAGCTGTTGGCTCTGTTGGGCAGCAGTGGAGTCTTTAAGAGATGGGGCTGGTTGGAGCAAGCTTAGTTATTGGGGGGGGGGGTGCCCATGAAGGAGATCGGGACCCTAGTTCCATCTTTTTTTTCCTTTGCTCCCAGCCACCAGGAAGTGAATGGGCTTCTCAGCCTTACGCTTTCATTACAATGTACAACTAGACCCTGGACCACAGGCTCGGAGAACCACAGGCTGGAACGTCAGACACTGGGAGCCAGAATGAGCCTTTCCTCTCGCCATTCTTTGTCTCCTGTGCCATGTCACAGGGATGGACAGCTGACTGGCATAGGCACCTTCACAGCTTCTGCCGGTTAGGCTGCAAGATGCCTGAGGGCAGCAAAGCTTAGCCACAGAGATGCTGATCTCTAGTCTAGGCTAGTTTTTCTCTAGGTATGTGAGAAAACAGGGGGAAGGAGGAAAGGGCAAGGGAGGACCAGAAAAGCTCTTGCAGAGTACGCGAATTCAGACTCACTTGGATCATTATCCCACAAAGGGTGGGACCCACCATGTACGCAGAGACCCCAAGAAACAGAAGTCATGTATCTGGAACTGTAGACATTCATGCAGCCCCTGGAAAGAACATGCCAAAGAATGAGATGCCGGGGAGATAGTTCAGCCAGTAAAATGCTAGGCAAGCCTAATGACCTGAGTTCGATCTCCAACACCTGCATCAGAAACCAAGAGTGTTGGCACGTGCCTGCAGTCCCCACCCTGGAGAAGCAGAGGTCTCTGGATGCCAGCCTAGACCATTTGGCAAGTTCCAGGATAGTGAGAGAGTGTGTCTCAAAAAACAAGGTCAGGGGCTGGAGAGATAGCTCAGAGGTTAAGAGCACTGACTGCTCTTCCAGAGGTCCTGAGTTCAATTCCCAGCACCCACATGGTGGCTCACAACCATCTGTAATGGGATCTGGTGCCCTTCTTCTGTATAATAAATAAATAAATAAATAAATAAATAAATAAATAAATAAATAAATAATAAATAAATAAATAAATAAATAAATAAATAAATAAAAAAAAAACAAGGTCAATCGTCCTTGAGGAAGAACACCCAAAGTTGACTTCTGGCCTCCACACATGTACACATGTACCCATTACACAATGTGTGTACACACACACACACACACACACACACACACACACACACACACACACAGACAGAGAATGAGAATGAGTTAACAGGCTATGGATATTGCTTAGTGTCAGGGTGTTTGCCTAAAATTCACAAGACTTTGTGTTCCATTCCCAACACTTTGAAACCAAGGCCACAGGCCAGGCCTGGTGGTATTAATCCCAGCACTTAGGAAACAGAGACAGGTGAATCTCATGCATTCAAGGCCAGCCTGGTCTACATAGCAAGTTCAGGCCATCCAGGGCTACATAGTGAGACCCTGTCTCAAAACAAAAGCCATGAAAGCTAATAAATGGACTACACGATCTTGTTTACAGTTTTATGAAATAAAAAATTAACAGCCGGGCGGTGGTGGCGCACACCTTTAATCCCAGCACTTGGGAGGCAGAGACAGGTGGATCTCTGTGAGTTCAAGGCCAGCCTGGTCTACAGAGCGAGATCCAGGAAAGATGCAAAGAGAAACCCTGTCTCAAAAAACCAATAAATAAGTAAGTAAATATAGAATATATATAATAAAATAAATAAACAAACCAACAAATAAGTAAAAGGCCTGGGACACAGTTCAGTGGCTGAGCACTTGCTTAGCATGCTCAAGGCCCTAGGCTCAGTCTCCAGTGCCACAAAAATCAACTCATTCATTTAGTTAAATAATGCTCTATCTGTAGAGTGGAGAACAGTGAAATACGTCCGAAGGATGCTTGGAGCAGATGTTTCTGGGAGCGTACAGTTAGTGTTCCGGAAGCCCGGCTTTGTCTTCAGGTTGAACATAGATTCACGACACCCTTACGTAGGCTGAAGCTCTTTTCCTTTGGTGACCTCGATGCTGGGGGGAGGGGCTCCTTCACCTCTCATTCCTGGGGTCTTCACTTAGGACTTTTCCTGCATCGTTTGGATGGATAGCAACTTACATTCCATTAAACACAGGGCACTACAGCCATACCGGAGCCCAGTTTGACAGTCTCTCTTAAAACTAAGCATGTTGCTATCACTTGACCCAACAACTGCACCCCTGGGCATTTGTGCCAGAGTGATAATAGACATATCTTCTCCCAAGACCTGAACATGAACACCCACAGCAGCCCTGTTGGGAACAGCTGGAAGCAGCAGACATCCTTCAGTGGGTCATGATTCAGCAGAGGATGGGATTTCCACGCCATGGAGCTCTGCCAGCCATGGAAGGCACAAGCCACCAACACATAAGCTGGAGATAAACCTCAGGAGAATTGTGCTGCGTGCAAAAAGCCACTCCCCAAAGGCTCCCATAGCGTGCCTTAGATCCCTTACGTAGAACAGTTTTTAAAGGGCAAAACTGCCACGATTGGGACCCCTGTGGAGGCTGCTGTGGGGTCCAGACAGACTGGGGTAGACAGGAATGTGTGTGACTGAAAAAGGGGGGTTGGGGAGCAACTGGAGAGATCCTTCTGATGGAAGGAGGTTCTGTATCACATGAAGTCCGTGTCACCATCCTAGATGTGACATCATGCTAGTTTGGTCAGGAGACTGAGTAAAGGACACCCCATGTCTTTTTATTACTTCTTCCTCTTTATGTGGCTGTGGCTGTGGCTGTGTGGGGGTGTGGTTGTACATGTGAGTGCTCACCAGCATGGGCATGTGTGGAAGCCAGAAGTTGACTTTGAGATGTCTCTCAACTGTGTTACTCTCATGCTTACGTGTGTGTGTGTGTGTGTGTGTGTGTGTGTGTGTGTGTGTGTGTGTGTGTTCATGTGTGTGAGTGCACATGTATGTGTGTATATGTGCACTGAGTTACTGTTGGGTCTCCCTTCATGTTCTTACCGAATGTATTGAGGCCGTCTCCAGCCGAAGCCAGATCTCACCTTTTGTGCTGGTCTGACTGACCTGCTCTGAATCCCATGCATCTGCCCACCCCACCCCACCCCACCCCACCTCCACCCCACCCCTCCCGCACACACACCTCCCAAGCACACCCCACCTGGGATTCCAGGCCGGTCTCCTTACCTATCCGACTTTTCCATCCCTTCTGGGGATCTGAACTCTGGTCCTCACACTTGCATGCTGGGTCATCGCTCCAGCCTTCTCCACCTTATTTTTTGACACAGGGTTCCTCACTGAGCCTGGAGCTTGCTGGTTGTGTCTAGACTTTGCTGGTTGGCTGGTGTGCTCGGGATCTTCCTCTCCCTGCCCACCTTCCCAGCCCACACCTTGAGGTTACAGAGTACCCCCACACCTGACTTTCTACACGGGTATGGGGACTCAGAGTCAGGTCTCTACCTGAGTGGCAAGTACTGAGCCATCCCCCTGCCCCGCCCCCGCCCCACCCTGCCCCGCCCCCTCTCTATTTTTGTTTTGCAAGGGCATATGACTCTACAGCAATTCAAAATAAGGTATGATTTTTTTAATAGAGACTGGGGTCCAGGAGTAGAATATATGCTTTGTCTTTGCAAGACTTGGGATCAACTCCCAGCAGCCCTTAAAACTGGAGGAGAACCCTACCTGTATGCACGGGCGTAGGAGGATGTGGGAAGACAGACCACAAACCTGAGAAGTCAGCCGCAGGATTGTCGCTCTCAAGAGCTTATTTTCTTCTTTTCCAACCTCTTATTATTTGACTTGTTCCAACAAGCAGGTGTGACTTGGTGATTTCTTCAGACCCGTGAAGTGGCAAAAAAAAAAAAAAAAAAAAAGCAGCAGAGACGTGTTGGGGTGGGCAGTGGCAGCCCTTGGGAACGCTGCTCCCTCCACTCATTCCCCCCCCCCCCCGGCCAAAGGGCTGGTTCTGGACCTGTGGGAACATTTTTTTAATCTGAGGTGGAAGGTCCTGGGAATGAGGTGAAGGCTGTGGCTGGCCCACTCGAATCTTTGCCAGGCTACCAGTCCTCAGACATCCTGGAACCAACCCATTCTAGCTGTCTGTCCCTCCCTTCACCAGCCCCTGCATTTGTTCACGACAACCACTCGGGGACACACGAGGTAGAAGACAGGAGACTCTGAGGCCAGCGGCAGCATACCTCTGAGTCATCGCCACAGGCCGAGAACCACCTCAGTGCCTTGCCGCTACCATCTCATGTTCTAAGGGACCTAGGAGGCGAGAGCTGAGGTTGTTGGCTCTGTGTAGGTGGGGGAAACTCCAGGTTAACTGTGTTCCCACAGAAAATACCGTGAAAGTACACCCCACCAAGGTATCACCTCTGAGACCCTCAGTCTGTCTGACCCTGCACCTCTGACCTGGGGTGCCACAGGGCATTACAGGTCTTTGGAGGAGCAGCTGAAGGGAGACAGAGGGAGAGCTTGGTGCTGGACAGCTGGACAGCACCTCATTTGTAGCCAGGTAGGAAAGGGGCATGCTTCCGGAAGGCTCAGCAGGGAGCCCTTGGTTGGACACACGGGAAGACAGATGTGCCTCTGGCACACACCCAGCCTCCAGCACTGCTCCCACCCACTGTGGGGTCAGGCTGGGCTGCTAGAGGCCAGCAGGATGCTTGGCAGCAGCTGCGAGAAACGACAACGATGATGAGGCACTGGCTACCGCTGGAAATAGACCAGCAGCTCCGACCAGTTATGGGGTGGGGGAGGAAGAACTCGGACGGAAGGAGTCAGGCGGCTGACTGGGCATGAGGAGTTGGCAGACACAGGCACGAAGGGACATGACTCCTCCCTCCCTCATGTGACTCCCTCTCTGCTGGGGTGTTCAGTGATGGGCATTCCCAGGCTACAGGGCAGCAGAGGATTAGGAGAAAATGGATGGAAGATTCTGGAAGGGAGACCTGCCCTGTCCTCTGTAGTTAGTTACTGAACAAACCGGGAATCCCGCTCTTCCACCCCTTTAGCCCTTCTGGAAGTTTCTCAGCTCTCTACCATCAACCAGATGGAGGGGAGTGGAGTCTTGAGTCCATCCCAGCATTCGGCGTGAGGGATCCGCACCCTACTGTATATGCACCACCTTTGCCTTTGTGAGTCTTGTTCTGCCTGGAAGGCCCTCTGCCCATTCGTCAGGAACAAATTCCTGGTCGTGTTTCAAGCTGCAACTCTAGAATCCCCTTGAGTCTGGGGATCTCACCTGCTGTTTGGAGCCTTCTGTCCGACAGTGACTAATGGTGTGTTGTTTCATTCTTGAGGGGGTCAAGGCTCAACCAGAAATGATCCGGTTGTGATTGAGGTGCATCTGTTCTCCGTGTGGGTATCCTCTCTTCCCTCTGCCCCTGTGACCTGCCCAAGGTTTCCATGTCTGGAGTGAACAGTTCTGTGAACCCACAGGACACTCACAGCCTGCTTTCCCTTGTCTCTTCCAGGCATCTATAAAGGACACTGTTTCAGGATCAACCACTTTCCGGAGGACAATGATTACGACCATGACAGCTCAGAGTACCTCCTCCGTGAGTGACAAGTACCCCAGCTCTTTGTATGAGGAGGGGAAAGGAAGGGAGGGGCTAGAGAGGTGAGCCCCGGGGGACTTGGCCCCAGCTCTTTGCCCTGGAGACTGTGAGCATTTTTATTCAGAAGTCCTGAGCTCAGAAGATGGGGTTTAGCCCAACAGTGCCCTGGCATGTGGATGCCCTGTGTGTGGATGGGTACACAGGATAGATGGATGGCCAAGGCCGCAGGTCCACAAACCGTGAGGCCCGAGCAGTGGGGTGCAGCTTCAAGGGACCTCTGGTGGGGCAAGGGAAGTTACAGATGGGGACTTCCCCTGGGGATGGGGCTCAGCTGACAGACTGGTTGCCTAGCATGTGCAGAGCTCTGGGTTCCATTCCCAGCACCGGTAAAACCCAGCTTGGTGGCACATGTCGTAATCTCAGTACTCGTGAGGTGGGGAGGGTCAGGAATGTGAGGTCATCCCTCTGCTATATAGTAAGTTTGAGGCCAGGCTGGGTTACATGAGCCCCTGTCTCCAGTTTTTAAAAAGAAAAGATGGGGCTGAAGAGATGGCTCAGCGGCTAAGAGCACTGGCTGCTCTTCCAGAGGACCTGGGTTCAATTCCCAGCTTCTCAGCACCCACGTGGCAGCTCACAACTGTCTGTAACTCCAGTTCCAGGGGATCTGACACCCTCACACCAATGAACATAAAATAAAGTTAATTTTTTTAAAAAAGGAAGAAAGAAAGAAAAGATATGAGCTCTCTGAGTCCAGTATGATTGTTCATACCAATAATCACAGCACTCAGGAGGCAGAGGCAGGAGGATCAGGAGGCCAAGGTCCTCCTCTGCTGTGGAATGGATCTGAGGCCAGCCTGAGTTCTATGAGGCCCAGTCTTGAAAAAGCTAAAAAAAGCTCTGCCCAGGCCCGACGAGCATCTGAAGCACACGATGCAGGGATTAACTCACCAGCCAAGACAGCTTCCTGAGGGGCTAGAAATCCCAGAGATGGTGATGGAGGTGGCAGGGTATGCCCTGACAGGTGGCCCTGAGTCCCTTCAGCCCTGACAAATGCGGCCACTACCTCTGCCTATGCTCTGCCCTTAAGCCCTTGCTCCCAGCTGATCCTGTGACTGAGTGATGCCTCCCAGTTGGTACCCACAGTACACGCTGAGCCCCAAAGGATGAACTTCCCTGCTCCTGAAGTCTATGCTGAGTTCCCCTCTGCGCCTCTGAACACCTCTTCTCCAGAACGCGGGGAGCCTCAGCCAGAGAGGGGCTAGACACAGATGCTAGAATGCCTGCCGTTCCTCCTTGCCCATCAGCGAGAAGACACAAAGAGCTGCCTCCCGCAGCACCCCTGGCGCTCAGGCTCAGCCTCACACATGGAGAATCGATACCAGTGTGTCCTTAGAGAGAGCACAATTCACTGTGCACCTGATTATGGCTCTTTTTTTTTTTCCCTACAAGAAAGGATTTGGATTATGAGTCATCTGATGAAATAGAACAGTGTGCGGTTCCCATGGAGCCGAGGCCATGTCAGGCTGCTCCAGCCAGGCCCAGAACCTGAAATAATATGGCCAGAGCCCTGCCTCCAATCCTCCTCCCTTATCTTCTCCTCTTTCGTCTTCCTGTCCTGATTCTACATATTAGGGGCCACACTCTCCCAGGTAAATGAGATCCCCTTAGAGTGGCCGTGGATCTCCAAGGAGGTTGCCCAGTGTACCACTCAAAGACTGCTGCTTGTATAAATTACGGTGTGAGTGACATCCTTCTGGTTCCGCAAGGCAGAGCACGTGACAGGGAGCTGGGAGGACAGAGCTGAGTGGCAAGAGCTGTGACCCTTAGGACAGAATGTAGCAGCTTCACTTGGCAGCTTGGCAGAGAGAAGCCTTGGGAAGAACTCCATCAGTGGCACTGTCTCCCGAAAGCCAGAATTGGGAGCCTTGGTGGTCTGGTCCACACAGTCAGCCTCCTGGGGTCCAGGATGGGATAGAGAAGGACAGAGTAAGGATCTGGAGTCACACAAAGCATGTGACCAGAAGCTCCGGCCCTGATGCTACAGGTCTCCCTCCAGCAGTGACCCCTGGTACCCAGGGGACTGGGAGTGCCTTAGAGTGATAGTATCAGTGTGACAGTTGCCTCTCTCACAAAGGACATGTTCTCAAATGTACCAGATCCCCAGGGCGACCTGCTGGTTCATAACAAGCCCAGAGGTGCCCAGGGAAAGAATGGCAGATGGCCCCCAGGTCTGCAGGCTTTGGCTAATGGTGAGTTTGCAGGTAGGAGGCAGAGGTGACTTCTTAATAAGCTAGTGTGTGTCCATTCAGTGGCTGTGGAGATAGGGGCACTTGGGCCTGAAAACTGATTTCCCCAGAACATAGAGCAACCTGAAGCCAGCTGTATACGCAACTCTGAGACCTGTGAAGGTCATAGTCCCTGTAGCCACGGGGCCTGTGTCTCCCTGATTCTCAGTATTCAGCCTCTGGTCTCTGCCCAGACTGTTATTTCCAAACTGTAGAGAAGCCCAGGAGAGTGGCCTCTAGGGGCCCATATGATGACCTCATTTATGTCTTCATTCATTTAACGGAAACTTGTGGCTGTATCTTGTGCCTGTCACCATCTTGAGCACGTGGGGCACCATGGCATGGAGACAGCTCCGCCCTCCAGGTGCTGATCTGGTGGCAGAGCATGAGAGTTTGGAGATCACAGAAGGTTTATGGCAAGGGAAGGCCTCCAGAGACAGCAGCCCAGAGGGCCGAGGCTAGGCAGCTCTCACCCTATTTTAGAAACTTCAAGAAACAAGTCACCCCTGACCCTCAAGTTCCTAAGCCTCCCAGAGAAGCTGGATTTGCATTTTGAGTCACATCACTGTCACTGGATTCCTGGGGGACCCCCCAGCATTGCACATTCACAGCGTGGGGTTTGAGGGAGTCACCACTTCACACCCTCCACAGAGTCTTATCTAGTGTCTTATCTCCATCACCCCAGGCCTGGCACCTCCCTCCTAGGTTCAGAATTTCCAGTTAGATGGAGGGTGCCTGTGCCAAGCCACAGTGCTGGTGTCTGTGAGTTCACAGTGAAGCCTGGAGTCCGTTAAAAGATAGGGCCCATCCTCCAGACAGATACATATCATCCCCGTGGCTTGATGTGGTCATGTGGTATGACTGACTCTAGCCTCTCGTCCCTCAGACACGTGTTCAGCAAGGCACTCAAGGGCCAGGTATTTGGAGGACTCTCCTGGATGGAGGGCTCCGAGCCACAGGCCTCCATTGTCTTTGAAGGAACTGGAGCGCCCTTCTCTCTGGACCACCTGACTGGTCTTCAGAAGGCAGGGCAGGGTCTTGACCTGAGTCTGGCCATCTCAGCTCAGAGGCCTGTTTCAGAAGCACACAGGAAGCCTCCTCCCAGAGCCGGCCGCTACAAGAAAGCCAAGAGGAGTCGGGAGGAAGTGCCGGGGAAAGGCGTCTCATTTAATGCCCCACACAATCCCTTCTCTGTGGAGCAAGGGCTCACACTGTGGGGGCACAGAAAGGAGACAAACACAGCCTTCAGAGGCTTCAAGGCCCCAAGCCAGTCAGCTGGCTCAGGAGGGGCACCTACCCGCACTTCCTGACTCACAGTCCTCTGCCGGCGCCACCAAGGCCCATGTAACTGGATTTCTCTAGAGCTGTGAGGACACGGAGAAGGCCACGCTCTGAGCATCGTCTCCCATGTCTTTGTTCTCTTCCTCTGACCTCCTTGCCATCTACCCAGATGCTCAGGGTGGAGACCGGAAGCCTGCCGTGTGCTCTGGTGGGCGTTCACTTCCTAAGGGGCTATGCAAACCGTCATGAACCATGCGACTGAAAGCAACAGAAATTGACTCCTGGGTGGCAGCTGGAAGTCAGAAAGGGGACACGTTTGGCAGGACTCTGCCCCTCCGCATGCTCAGGGAGTGAGACTCTTTCTCTGACGCTACTGCAGTTAGGGAGCACCAGAATTTCCTGACCATGTCTCTGCCCTCTGACTCCATCCTCATAACCTTATCCGTCGTCTAAGATGCTTATCCCTGGACTCGGGGACCTCTTGGTCCATTCAGGATGGTCTCATCTTGAGGCCCCTAAGGTCCCTAAACACATATGCAATACCTTTTTCCAGAGAAGGCCACATCCACAGGGAGAGGACACAACCAAGCCCTCCAGCGTGGTATCACTACTGTGGCCAAGTTATGAAAAAGTGAACTCGGGTGGTCATTGAGGTTCCCTGGCCCTGCCCCCACTGCTGGTTGTGGGTAGGACAAGGATTCAGACAAGGTTCTGCTGGCCAGCGTGGTAGACAGTGTCTCACAGTGCCCTGCTGCCCCTTCTGTGGCTTGCACGTGTTGTGAGCCTGGATGTCTTCATCTGTAGGCACAGCGGTGATTTGCTGGACATAACTAGTCACTTAGAAAGTGCGTGGTGCAGCTGGCCTTGTGCTTATCACTTCACAGAGACAAAAACCAACCACAGCACAGTGGGCCCCACTAACCCATGGTCTTAATTTGTGAGATTTTAGTCATTCATGGCTTTACTTTGTGGGATTTCAGTCAACAACAGTTCAAACTCATGAAATGTAAAGTGCCAGAAATAAAGGAGCCATAGGCTTTAAAAGTAACTTTTATTACAGTATAGTGTGTTCCAGTGGTTCTATTTTATTATTAGCCACTATCAGTCCCTTTCTATATATTTGATTTGTCAATTAAATTTTATCACGGCGGACTGGCAAGAAGGCTCCTGATGAAGGTTCTTGCTGTGTGTGCAAGCCTGGTGACCTGACTTCTGTCGTGGAGCCCACATAAAGAAAGGAGAGAACCAAGTTCACAGAATTGTTCTCTGACCTCCACACATGAGGCTGTGGCACATGCACCCACATGACAACAATAATAAATGAAAATTTTAAATGTTAATTTTTTTTATTTTATAACACCATTCAGTTCCACATAATAGCCACAGATTCCCCTGCTCTCCCCCCCTCCCCCCAGCCCACCCCCCATTCCCACCTCCTCCAGATCAAGGTCTTCCCTGAGGACCAGGATCGACCTGATAGACTCAGTCCAGGCAGTTCCAGTCCCCTCTCCCAGACCGAGCCAAGCGTCCCTGCATAAGTCCCAGGATTCAAACAGCCAACTCATGCAACGAGCCCAGGACCAGGCACCACCGCCCAGATGCCTCCCAAACAGATCAAGCCAATCGACTGTCTCACCCATTCAGAGGGCCTGATCCAGTTGGGGGCCCCTCAGCCTGTGGTTCATAGTTCATGTGCTTCCATTCATAGCACTAAATGCCCACATAAAGAAGTTGGAGAAATCCCACACTAGTGACTTAACAGCACACCTGAAAGCTCTAGAACAAGAAGAAGCAAAGTCTCCCAGGAAGAATAGACACCAGGAAATTATCAAAGTGAGAGGTGAAATTAATAAATTAGAAACTAAGAGAATAATACAAAAAATTAATGAGACAAAGAGTTGGTTCTTTGAGAAAATCAACAAGATAGACAAGCCCTTATCCAAACTAACCAAAAGCCAGAGAGAGAGAATCCAAATCAACAAAATCAGAAATGAAAAGGGGGACATAACAACAGACATTGAGGAAATCCAGAGAATTATAAGGTCATATTTTAAATGTTAATTTTATCATGGGTGTATATGTATAGGAAAACACAGGGTCCTTATGGGTACTTAGAATGTACCTCCTCACAGATGAGGAGATGCTGAGTTATTAAACCATGTGTTACAAGTGGGGAAAGTGAGTTTTTGAAGAGTGAAGCAAGTTGTCTAAGAAAACGCAGCATGCCACAGAGCAGGATGACACCCAGTCCCATTTAATGTGCTAAAGCCTGTTCCTCCGACCCTTGATCCAAGCTGGCTCTTGGGCACACCATTCCCAGCCTTCTGGTGAACCTATGGGACCATTCAGGAGAGAACTTAGTGGGCTGTGAGCTGTTGCATGAATGTCATGCCATCCAGAACATTAGTGACTGTTAGTGTGGCCTCTCCAGTGACACTGAGGGACTCCAATCCCTCTCACCTGAAAGAAGTGTTACCTACACCTAGAAGGAGGCCCAGTGACCTGCAGGCAGGTGTGACCATAGTTCATTTGGCTTCTTCTGAAAGAGTAAATAGCCAGCCTAGAGCCATCGTGCGCCCAGGGCGGGCAGCAGGACTCCTGGGAGAGACCCCCATGGCCATGGCAGGGAGGGTGGCTGGACTCACTGCCCTCTCTGCTTCTTTTCTACCCTGGCCTAGGCATCGTGCGAGCCTCCAGTGTCTTCCCCATCCTCAGCACCATTCTGCTCCTGCTTGGAGGGCTCTGCATCGGCGCTGGGAGGATCTACAGCCGCAAGAACAACATTGTCCTCAGTGCAGGCATCCTCTTTGTGGCCGCAGGTAAGTGGGGGCTACCCCTTGGGGACATGAGCGGAGGCGACAGTGGCACACCTGAGCATGTGTACACACTGCCAGGAGTGTGCACCCTGGTGGGAGGGCAGTCCGAAACCAGTGCATGGTTACCATTAAGAGGACAGACGTGTAAGACTGAGGCGGGGGATGGGGAGTGACTGCTTAATGGGGTTTCCTTTGGAGGAGATGACAGTGTGACAAAGGGGATTTCACACATTGTGAAGGGTTGCACACATTGCAAGTGCACTAGATGCCACTGGATTGTGTCCTTCAGAAAGGTTATTTTGATAGTGTGCCAATTTCACCTCATCTCAGACAGTCGGGTATGTGAAGTACAACCAAAGCACTAGGTTCTGGTGCTTTCCAAACCTGTAACAGGGTCGGAAGCTGGCTGAGTTGGTGGATGTCAGGAAAGAACCTGGAGATTCCCGGGATGCCAAATCCCAAGGGAGTTTGTCATGTAAAGACGGGGTGAGGGGCTGGAGTAGAAAGACAGAATAACATCCATTTACTTAGCGTAGGATTGTGTTGGCTGTTACAAGCTAGCTAGAGATGAACTGAAGTATATTGGGGGTTGGGTGGGTTATAGGTAAATGCTGCAATGTTCTAAGAGACGTGGTCATCACTGATTTCTGGTTCTGCTGGGAAATGTAGAACTTATCTCTCACAGACACCCGGGGAGGGGGTGGGGGTGGGACAGGACTTGAGGGAAAAGTAGCCACCAAGCTGGCTGTGGTGGTACACAGCTCAATCCCAGCTGGGAGGTGGAGGCAAAAGAATCAGGAGTTCCGGACTGGGACAGATGGCGCCATGGTTAGGCGTACTGGCTGCTCTTGCAGAGAACTGGCCTTTGATGGCCAGCACACACATGGTGGCTCACAACCATCTGTAACTCCTCTTCCAGAGGATCTGATGCCCTCTTCTGGCCTTTACAGGCAGACACACGGTGCACAGACATACATGCATGCAGTACACCAATACACATATACACAAAATAATTTTTCTAAATGAGGATCAGGAATTCAAAGCCAGCCTGGGTTATATGAGACCCAATCAAAAGGAAAGAGAGGAAGGGAAAAAGGAGGGAGGGAAGGAGGGATGAAAGGAGGGTAGAAAGAAGGAAAATTAGTTACCAAGCTAGGGGTGGTAGTGCATGCCTGTCATCCCAGCCCTTGGGAGGTGGAGAATCAATTGGAAGTTCAAGGTCATCCTCAGTTACCTCGGCTCAGGACAAGCTTAGGCTGCATTAGACTTTTTCTTGAAAAATAAAAGTGTTACCATAATTAATAGATATCAGGGAGAAGACCGGCCACCATCCCGCGTTCAGCAGCCTGTCCTCTGTCCTGTCATTCATTCTGTGAGTCTGACCTTTAGTCTCTCCCCGCCCCACCTCCCTTTCAGGCCTCAGTAACATCATCGGCATCATCGTCTACATCTCCAGCAACACAGGCGACCCCAGTGACAAGCGTGACGAAGACAAAAAGAACCATTACAACTACGGCTGGTCCTTTTACTTTGGAGCCCTGTCATTCATTGTGGCCGAGACCGTGGGCGTCCTGGCCGTAAACATTTACATTGAGAAAAATAAAGAGTTGAGGTTTAAGACCAAGCGGGAATTCCTTAAGCCTTCTTCCTCCTCTCCTTACGCCAGGATGCCGAGCTACAGGTACCGGCGACGGCGGTCCAGGTCCAGTTCAAGGTCCACCGAGGCCTCGCCCTCCAGGGATGCGTCTCCCGTGGGCCTGAAGATCACCGGGGCCATTCCTATGGGTGAGCTGTCCATGTACACGCTGTCCAGGGAACCCCTGAAGGTAACCACGGCTGCCAGCTACAGCCCGGACCAGGATGCTGGCTTCCTGCAGATGCACGACTTCTTCCAACAGGACCTAAAGGAGGGTTTCCACGTCAGCATGCTGAACCGGCGGACGACTCCCGTGTGACCTGCCCACCTGTCTCGGCACCGGCCTCCCCCAGAGTGGCTGTTTGTGTGACACACAACAGGGTGACCCTTAAGATAATAGACAGTGAACTGGAGAGCCAAGGGCAACCCTCCCTGGCCTCCAAAAGATGCCATGGGCTGGCTAAGAGTGAAGGAAGCCTGGAGACTGGAATCAGGGATAGGGTAGAAACTGAAGGCTAACTTTCTCCCAAGACAGGGTGTATTGCTGTCCTCCTGAAATTTCCCAGGAGGCCCAAGAATTTTCTAGAAGCTGCATCAGCCTGCCTCTTGGAAACCAGGAAACCAGTCATGCCAGAAGATGTCAAACTTTTTCCCCTTCCCTGGGCACAGGGCCACAGGAAGGCTTCTTCCAGAACTGGGACCTCTGGGCTCCCATCAGCTGATTCCCACCCAGAAGTTCCTGTGTCCTGGAGCCCAGAATGAGCCGGATCTCACTCCACTCCCCTCTGCCTCCCTCTCTCAGCCTCTGTCTGGCAGCCTGGTGGAGCCTGTGGTTGTAAACATCATCCGTCCTAAAGAGAAAGCTCTATGGCTAACTGGTGCTTCGGCCTTGAGCTGTCCTGTGGCCGGCGTCTCTCCACCTCAGGAGACCAGGAATCCAGGGCAAAGGCAGAGTCTGTAGGCTTTCCTACCTGCTTCCGGAAGTCTCTGCCGAGCTCGGAATGGACAGGACGTACTCACTAAACTTGGAGATCTGGAGGATTCCATGGGTCTGAGGAAAGGTGGGCACTTGCTGTGTTCTTCCCCACTTGCCTGAGGAACCACGCTGTCCCCTGAGCCACAGGGGACCCTGCTAGGGGCGGAGCCATACTCCCACTTCCAAACTGGTGTACAGACTTCAGTATGAGAAAGGGGAACCGGAGGGTGAGCGGAGACGACAAAGAACAAAGAAAGAGCGTCCGTTTCCAAGTGGTTCTGAATGGTGACGTACTGAGAATCAACAGCAGCAGAACAAGCCACACTCAACTCCTCATCCTAAAAAGCAGCAATGGCGTCTCCCCCGACTCCTGTCCTAATTTATTCTGCCGACACCCAAAGGACTCTGGGGACATTTGACTCAAGGGGCCGTCCTGGGTTTTCTCACTTTGACTGAATCTGAGGATGAGGTCTGTGTTTTACAGTTTGTCCAGCCATCCCCTTTCCCTCTCGAGGTGAGCAAACACCGTGTGAGTGTGTCCAGATTAGAAAGAACTCTCCAGAAAGTGGAACTTACCCCCTTTTCTATAACACGCGTGCTTTCTAAGGATCAATTGTTTCTTACTTTTTGAGACTTCTTAATCCAATCTTGAACAGTCTTCTGTGACCCCAGTAACTCTCACCGAGAAGTGACAAGCCAGTTCTTACCTCAGTCACCTGCTCATGGAGCCCCTAGGCTGACTCGGAGTTCAGACCCAGGTCCATTTGTCCTTCCCTGCCTGCCCTTCATCCCCCCCCCCAAGACACTCTCTCTCTCTCTCTCTCTCTCTCTCTCTCTCAAGACATCCTATGTCATAGCTAAAGCCAACTGCCCATGAGCTGGTGAGCTGAGATGTGAGCATGTCGGGGCTCCTTCGTTCTTGCTCAGAACCATCCCCTCCTGGCCAGGCGGGCTCCTCGGCGTGTGTCAAAGCACGCACAGCAGTGAGTGAGCGCCAGTGTCCAGATGTGTGGTCTATCCCTGCAGCAGGCCCTCACCCTGCCCACCTCCCCCACCTCGCCTCTACCACCATCAACATCTTTGGAGGCTGAAGGAAGCCCCGGACCCCCAGGGAGACCAAGACTCATGTCTCTTCTGGAAATAAAGCAGCCTATGGTAAACTTCCACACAAGCCACCTTCCCAAGTGTAGTTCCAGAAGTTTCCACGGTTCCACATGAGAAAGCTGTGTTCCGATGACTCCTACCTCTTGTCCAGTCCTAGGCAGAGTACACAGGCCCACTCCGGGGACAGGAGAGAGCCGGAAGGAAAAGGAAGGAGAGGCAGGGTAGAACACGGAGAAAAGCCTCAGCTGCCCGGCCCCCACAGCCTTTCTCCCGCTGACTGTTGGCCTCACTCCGGGGACCCTGGTCACTGGCTTGCCCTTCCTGTGGGAAAGGGAGCAGAGCTGGACTGTACCGCTGACAGGCTCGGGTCCCGCTCCTTCTCTGAAGGGACATGAGGCCTGAGCCCATCTTCCCACCCCTCCTCTGTCCCGTCTCCTCCCCTGTGTCTTTCACCAGTTAAGCCCCTGTGATCCTGTACCCACCAGTGATTTGGGGTTCTTAGTTCTGTCTCTCTCTCTTTTTTTTAATTAAATAAAAACATTTTTAAAATGTTCTCTTTTTGATATGGTAGGCGGGGGAGTGCTTCCCTGGGGTCCTTACAGGGATCTGGTATCCCAGGTGTAGGAATTGTGTGGGGCCTCCAAGAGAAGGAGGGTGACAGGGTAAGGGCGGACACCGTGTGGACAAGACTCTGGCTTGACTCTGAGGACCAGGTTGGGCTTTGACCTCTGGCGAAGGTACCGCTAAGATGCTTTTCCATGGATAAGCTGGGAGCAGCTGAGCAAGACGCTGGTGGGACTCGGCAAAAGCCTGAACTCCCTGAGCCGTGGGAACTCAGCAAACCCAGAGACACATGTTTTCCCAGGCACCCTTTTTTTTTTTTTTTTTTTTTTTTGGTTTTTCGAGACAGGGTTTCTCTGTGTAGCTTTGCGCCTTTCCTGGAGCTCACTTGGTAGCCCAGGCTGGCCTCGAACTCACAGAGATCCGCCTGGCTCTGCCTCCCGAGTGCTGGGATTAAAGGCGTGCGCCACCAACGCCCGGCCCCAGGCACCCTTCTAAGGCAGAAGAAAGAAGGCTAAGAAACCAGGGCAGTGAGTTTAGACAAGCTGGGACAGAGGTGTGGGGCAGCACTGTGTTCTGGCTTCTCAGTCCTCTTTCAAAAGCATGTCCCCAGGTCTGCTGAGCCACCAGGACCCACAGCCTGGGGAGCTCGGGCTTTTGCTGGCTGCCACCAGTGACCAGGCTGAAGAGCAGCTGTGCTGCCAGCCTGGAGCCAGTTCTGCCTGGAGCTGGCACCTTGTGCCAAAAGGCCCGTGTCTACGGTTTATTCTTAGCCTGGAGGAAACCCTGGCTCAGCAGAAGCTGTCCAGCCCTCCTGGGCCGACTCTCGTGCCAGGCTGCATTTAGGGACCTGCCACCACCTCCCACAGTCACGTGGTCACGTGTTTAGTTCAGCTAAAATCGCTGCCTCCGATAACTTGCAGAGCTAGGTCTGTTAGAACCAACACAGAAATCAATGTTGTAGTTCCTTAATGAAAATAAGCTCCAGAGGTGCAGGTAGGGGGATGGCTCAGTCAGTAAAGCGCGTGCTTTGCAAGTGTGAGGACCTGAGTTCGATCCTCAGCACCCACTTAAAAACCCCAAGTCTAAGGTGGGGGGCACTGACAATCTCAGTGTTGGGAAGGCAGAGACAGGAGGATCTCTGGTGCTCTGTCTGGCTGATCAGGTGACCTCCAAGGTCAATGACCACGTCTCAGAGGAGGAGGACAGGGTTCCCGCAGATGGTCTCCATGCATACGCTCACACATGTAAACCCCCACTCCCACACACAGACATTTATTTATAAAAGAAGGAAAAGTAAACACTCATAGCCTAGCTGTAGGCCACCATTTTAGCCTTTGCTGTTACTTAAGAGTAGGCCGACCACACACTCAACAGCCCCGAGTGTAAATGCTGAAGATGAAAGAACGTCATTTCTCATACTAAGTGCACCCAGTGGAGTGCGGAGCAGGCCCTGGTCTACGCTGTCAGTGTAGACAGACACTCAGAGGCCCAGGCTGTGGAGGTTCCCCTGTGGCAGGTGGAAGGTGAGAGTAGATAATTTGAGTCTTATTGGACCAGGAAGTCGTGACCTGCTCTCTACACTCCGTCATCCAGAACTCAATAACACCATCGGTACATCCAAGAGAAAGTAGTTGTCTTAGGGTTACTGCTGTGAATAGATGCCATGACCACAGCAACTCTTTTTTTTCTTTTTTCTTTTTCCTTTATTTTTTTTTGGGGGGGGGGACTTTTGTTTTTTGGGTTTTGGAGACAGGGTTTCTCTGTGTGGTCCTGGCTGTCCTGGAATCTGGCCTTGAACTCAGAGATCTACCTGCCTCTGCCTCCTGAGTGCTGGGATTAAAGGCTGCGCCACCACCACCAGCACTCTTATAAAGGAAAACATTTAACTGGGGCTTGCTTACAGTTTCAGAGGTCTAGTCCATTGTCATAGTGGGAAGCACAGCAGCATGCAGACAGACGTGCTGGAGAGGTAGCTGAGAGTTCTACATCTGGATTGGTAGGCAGCAGGAAGAGAGAGTGACATTGGGCTTGGCTTGAGCTTCTGAAATCTCAAAGCCCATCCCCTGTGACATGCTTCCTCCAACAGGTCCACACCCACTCCAACAAGGCCACACCTTCAATAATGCCGCTCCCTATGAGGGGGGGGCATTTTCATTTAAACTACCACAGTAGGAATGTAATCTATAGGAGGAGAAAAGAGTTTGGGGAACAGCTGACCAGTCTCTGCCCCTGGTCTGCCTTCCTACTCCCAAACTTTTTGAGGCATGCTCACTTAGAAGTAAAATTTTTGTGACAGTACCAACCTCTATGTGTCCCAAGCCCCTTCTTGGGATCCTACATAGTATCTGGCCTCATTTCAGCTCCAGATGTCCTTTGTATAAAATGAGCCTGTATCACCCTCTTCCCAAGTGAGGAATAGGTTTGAGCTCAGGCCTTTATCACACAAGAGCACACCACCATTGAACACATGACCAGAAGGCCTGACCTCACCTCATCCCACCTGCTCATCATAGAAGAATCAAGTTCAAAGATGGAGAGAGAGAGAGAGAGAATGTGGAAGAAATAAAGGGAAGGCATTCTTTTAAATTTCATAACTATTAAAAGGGAGACACATCACCTGCCCAATGGGAGAAGAGATTCTGTACTGCATGGGACACTTGCCAATGTCTGGAGACATTTCTGCTTGAAGCAGATGTGTTTGGGTCTTCTGGGAGTGACCAGGGATGCTTCTAAATCTTGTACAGTGCCCAGAATAGCCTCTCAGCCCTCAGAATGGTCTGTTTTAAACATCAGTAAACCCAAGACCAAGAGCCCCATGCAAGCCCAACTTCAGGGCGGAAATCCAAGGCACAGAAAGGGGTGATCACCACACAAGATGACACAGCAGCTTTGGGGTACTTGTGTCTAGTCTAGACCATGAACATAAAACATTCTTTAGCTGGGCAGTGGTGGTGCACACCTTTAATTCCAGCACTCCAGAGGCAGAAACAGGTAAATCTCTTTGAGTTCGAGGCCAGCCTGGTCTACAAAGCAAGTTCCAGAACAGCCAGAACTGTCAGAGAATCTCTAGAGTCTTGAAAAATACAAAACACACACACACACACACACACACACACACACACACACACACACACACTTTTTTTTTTAATTCTTCAAGTCCCTTTTTCCTACCACGTTAGGATTTCTGCATCATTGTTGAGCCATACATTTCCAAAATAGAAATTGGGAGTTGAGGAAGGACATGGGAAAATGGTCCATCGTGGGTGAAGGATGGAGAGCCTCCTTGAAGTCTTTGTCCCTGGATTTTAGGAACAGAATGTTAGAATTGAACAAGCCCAGCATGACACATGGGCACACTGCACGGCGGTGTCTTCCTCCTCTGCCCACATCCAGCAGCTGCAGTGATGTGGCCAAAGGCCAGGAAAGATCCCAATAAGACCTCAGGTCCTCCTGCCTTCCCCCTGGGGCAGCAGCAAAGAGCAGCTCACAGCCCCCCATTATTCCCACCATCCAAGGAAGAGGTTGCCACAGGACCTTCCTTTGAGAGAATGACTTAGATTTTAAACAAGGAAATGCTGTAAAGTACCCAGTTGAAACACTTCATCTGAGGGTCTGGAAGGATGGCACAATGGTTAAGAGCATGTACTGTTGTGTTGAGGACCTGAGTTCAGTTCCCAGCATCCACATAAGGTGGTTCACAACCTGTAATTCCAGCGCCAGGAGATCGGATAGATGCCCCTGGCCTCTGCAAACTCCTACACTCATGTGCACATACCCACCCACAGACACAAACATCTACACATAGTTAAAATAATAAACCAAATCATTTTTTAAAAGACTGCATTTGAACCCTCAAGAGTGTTCACTGAATGGGACCAGACTAGGCCTTCTGCATATGAGCAACAGTTGTGTGGCTTGGTCTGTCTGAGGGGCCCCTGGCAGCAGGATCAGGATCTATCCCTGTCTGAGGGGCCCCTGGCAGTGGGATCAGGATCCATCCCTGTCTGAGGGGCCCCTGGCAGTGGGATCAGTATCAATCCCTGTTTGAGGGGCCCCTGGCAGTGGGATCAGAATCAATCCCTGTTTGAGGGGCCCCTGGCAGCAGGATCAGGATCCATCCCTGATTGAGGGGCCCCTGGCAGTAGGATCAGGATCCATCCCTCCTGCATGAGCTGCCTTTTGGGAGCTCATTACCTATAGTGGGACACTTTGTTCAGCCTTGATGTGTGTGGTGGGGGTAGGGTGGAGGGGTTTGGTCCTGCCTCGACTTAATGTACCAGGCTTTGCTGACTCCCCATGGGAGAGGCCTTACTCTTTTAAAGGAGGAGATGAGGGGGGTGGCTGGAGGGGATGGGAAGAGGGATGACAGGGAGATCTGTGGTTGGTGTGTAAAATGAATAAAAATATTTCTTAAATTAAAAAAAAAGTGTTCACTGAGGGGACTAGAGAGATGGCTCAGTGGTTAAGAGCACTGGCTGCTCTTCCAGAGGACCAGGGTTCAAGTCTCAACACCCACATGCCAATTCACAGCTGTCTGTGGCTCCAGTTCCAGGGGATCTGATGCCCTCACATAGACATACATGCACCAATGCACATAAAATAATAAACAAACAAATAAATAAATAAAACGAGGCTTCACTGACAGCTGCCATAGAGTTTCCAGTGTCGGGTTGTTCTAGAACAGCTCTGGAGGGGGAGCGTCTGAGGACCAGAGCAGCAGGTGCACACCAACTCTTAGACAGTGTGCCTGCATCTGGCTGAGTCCTCCTGTGGCCAGTTCCACGGACAAATACCTAGTTCAACTTCCATGTCCCTGAGACTCTGGGGTTGTAATGACTAGGGGACTTGCAGGGCCCGTCCATAAACTTCTGTGATCCCATGGGGGAACTTCTGGCTTTATAAATCTCACACGTGGCTGAAAAAGCCCAGCAGTGGCCGAAGGGTAGCTTTACCAGGAGCGTACCTGTCCTGTGTCACCCAAGTGGAGTC